CCCACTGTGTCAGTCTATATTAATTCCACATATGCTCCACCAGCTTCATCAGGCAAACATCTTTAACCTAAGCATTCAATGATGATTTCCATTGAGGAATTGTTTATTTACAGTAAAAGGCAGGGTGGCCTTAGCGGGCAGGACTCTAGGCTGAAAACCTGAAGTCAACCCTCTAGTCTTCACTCAGCTGCTGGTCTACTGAGTGATCTACAGTGAATGGGTCTATCTGACAGCTTCTGTGTGGTAAATGGGCATAATAAAGCTGGCCTCCTCACAAAGTCCTTTGAGATCTACAAAGAAGAAGTATTACACAGCAGCTATACACTTCTTCATTACTAGCTCTTTTTCATGTGGTTCCTTTAACAGACATTTGGGTTCTGATTTAGATCTTCTGAACAGGGTGTAACACTACGGGTACTGGTGGCAACTGTGTTTGCCAAATGTGACTTTAAGACTCCTACTACTGCTATGTAAGCAGTTATTTCTCTAAACTTCCCAATGTCAGATACGCTCTTAAATAGAGAGAGGCTATTGGTGTTCAGGAACTACAGAACTGTCTTCATCTCCCTGGACAATTACTGCGATGGGACATCCAATCTGAGTAGGCACATGTGAAAACAAACATGTAGACACACAGATTCTCCAGGAAATGTACAATAAATGTTATCTTTTTCACACTGAAGTAAAACACAGGAAAATGAATGCTGAAGCATTTCACATTATTCTGTAATGTATGTGTATGTGCACAGTCAAATGTACAAATACGTAGGCACAATGGCAAATGAATTTACTATGAACATAGATGAGGATGAGCACATTGGCATTAAATAGTGCAAAATATCCAGAAAAAAACTATGGTAAATAAACATTCAGGTTGCAAAGCCAAGCAACATTGGATATTCCAGAATGCAGATTTCCTGGGCATCCTTAATTAGACCTTTTGAATATTTATGATGACACAATTTAAATTACATGATAACGTGTAGTGGGTTTTTTTTTCCTTAACAGATCCTTGTTTTAGCCAGTTGATGGGGAGGCAGGTTTTTAACCCTTCTGGTTTTTATCTTCTTCCATTTGGTGCTCTGGCCTGAGATCTCATGTTAATAATGCACATGGTCCAAGTGTTACACTGAACACAGAAAACATGAATCCCTGTCCAAGCTTTTGTTTCTCTGGTGCTCCCATGACAGGATCTTAATATGCCCCAAATCCTAATGAACCTATCTCTGCAACACATCTGCACAGGGTGACAATACTGTCTTTGCAGTATTATTGCCATCATGCAAAAGCACTGAAGCACAGGGAGAGAAAGGGCAAAAATGTCAGAATGACACCTTTCAGCAAAAGCTGAGTGAGAGATATGGGAGCCTTGCACACATAGCATTTCCCTAGCACTTTCTCCACTCAAAGCACAGGCCCTGTTGACTTCAGCTCTCAGCACTTCTGTGTTTCAGGTCCCAGGTGTCTCTTGTTGAGCACCCAGAAAATGAGGCCAAGCACTCAAAGAGGGAGGAAATTCCAGAATGAAGTCATCGTGCTTACACATGGGGAGGGTGAAGGAGCTGATCGTGCCCAGGCAATCCAAATTCTGGCATTTGCTCACATTTTAGCATTTGGCTCACAACCATATCATTCTTAGCTGAGTTTCTCTGTGCATGTGTATATATTTCTCTGTGAATAAATAAGGACATCTGAACTGTGTCTATCCTGCTAAAAACTCTTGTACTGCCTTCCTAATAAAATTAATTTATTGATATGTGTGCCCTTGGAAAAACAGCATAGCATATGTTGTAATAACCTTTACTTATTTTTCCTGCTGCAATTAAATCTAGAGAAATCTAGAGAAACTTGGTTTTGATTGTTCCCAGAAGAGGAAGGAAGGGAAGTAAAGAAGATCTACCTCAAGAAGTGCTGAAGTATCAATACAACTCCCTGCTGCAGCTGTGCCTCAGCCATTCATTCACACAGAATCACAGAATGTTAGGGATTGGAAGGGGCCTCGAAAGATCATCTAGTCCACCATCCATCCTTCCTGTAAAGAAGTTTCTTCTCAGGTTTAAGCGGAACCTCCTGTGTTCCAGCTTACACCCATTGCCCCTTGTCCTATCATTGGGCATCACTGAGAAGGGCCTGGCTCCATCCTCCTGACATTCGCTCTTTACATATTTATAAACATTAATGAGGTCACTCCTCAGTCTCCTCTTCTCCAAGCTAAAGAGACCGAGATCCCTCAACCTTTCTTACCTGCTTTAGAAGCAGAAACAGACAATAGCCAGGCAAACAATTTGGCATCCAAAATCAGGGGGATCAAGGACTTCTAGAGGACAGGGATAAATTTGCTTCACTTCAGTCTGAAAACCTGCTACTAAATCTCAAGGTCTACAGTTGATACATTGACCCTATCCATTACCAAATTACAAGTGAGGCATTAAAAAGCACAGCATGCTGCCTTAAAAATGCCAAGATTTTCAAATAAATATTTATTTATTTTTAGTTTGCTTCCTGCTAGTTTTCTCAAACCCTTCCCCTTCTGAAATTTCCCTGCACAAGCAGACAGGTTGGAAACAGGTTAAAAATGGAAGCTGAAATCCATATGCAAACAGATGGCTCCAAGACCTGGTGCTCTAGGGGATGAAAACTTGTAATGCAAGACTCACAGAACTCTTGTGGGAATTGGGTTCATTAGGTATCTACCATAAGTGTGTCTGTGTGCATATATCTGTACACCAGCGTGATTCTATCTGTGTGGGCATGTGTACCTGAGTTTAGCAGAGTATTCATTCCTCCATGCGCCGGTCCTCTCTCTCTCTCTCTTCTCACACTTCTCATCTCTTCTTTGAAACTGGGAGTGCCTCTCTCTTCTATACATCCCCTTCTCCACTAGCACAGCAGCCTGATGGCAGAGGAACCTTTTTTTTACCCCTCCTATGTGTGTACAGCAGGTGAACTTTTCTCACTGACTCTCTGCTGACTGCGTCGGATGTTATCTACCTTTCAGCCAGTGGACAGAGCAGTGCATTTACCCTGATGAACTGAAACGCCCTGGCTTGCTCTCTAAAAGCTCTTCTCTCTAGCCCTTCTATATAGGGTACCTAGGGAAACGTGTTTGCCAAGTGAGGCATCGAATGAAGGCATCATACCCTACCTTTACTGCACTCAGAGTGGCTGTTTCCTCTCATGGTCTGAAAAATCCCTGGAAAAGGACTGGCATCAGTTACTAGTGCTTTTAATTCTGGAAGTGCCTCCCCGTCCCTGCTGGATTCCTCCTCCCTTTCCAGCCTGCGGAGCACATGGTTATCCCTCCTCCCCGGTGGCTGGGGAGCTAAGCTTTCCCTCTTCTCACTGCAGCCACTAGTGGTAGGGGGAGTGATGGCAGTTCTTATGCCAAGGTTTCCTCTTCTTCCCAAGAGGGAAAAGCATATTTGTCCATGCTGAGACTGTTCCTTACAGTATGTGGCTAAGCTGTGCTCTCCAGACAAGATGTCAGCTAGCAACATGCACTCTGTGGGCTTCTGGGGGGAGAAGTCCTAGGGTAGGCAACGTCGTGGGAATTGTATGGTGCCTATTATGTTATTGAAAACAAAATACAGCTGCGTGTTACTGTTGGCTGAATGCAACTTGTCAGCACCAACTTCTCCTCTAGAAGCCAGGACTGATTGCAGCCATCCTTCACAGGAGAAGGTGCCAGTAGCCGGGCAGTTGGAGAAGTGTGACATGTTGCCCCCTGCCTACTTCCAGGCCATGTTAACATGGCAGTGTTAAAGCAGAGAGTGTGCCTGGAGAAGCACCGTGTTGTGAGGAACTGTGTGGTGACAGACAGATTGCTCAGAAAGCCCCAAAGGAACTGCAGTGGTTTTGCTGACAGCTGAGTGCCCTGGGCCTGGGACTACACGTGTTCTCTCATGTGATGGAACAACCCAGGGCACCAGTGGTGCTTGCTATGCTCATGCATCAAGCTCCAGAGTCACTCCAGAATAATTCCTCCATAGTCCACAGGTTTGCTCATCCTAATTGTTAATTACTGTAACTCGCTTTTTTTAGGACCAGGTCTATTTTCAGTCTTCGTAGTTCACTGACTCTAGAAGGCTGAGCATCCCTACACTCTCATGAGTGTGAGTGGGTTGGGTGCCAGCCCTGGGCACTGGAGAATGAATCATGTTGCTGTAGCTGGGAACAAGTGAGTTAGGCAGGCTTTGAACCATTTTAGTGCATTAATGTTTTTCCAGCTTTGCTTGTATTATGTTTTGGTCTGAACAATCAGAACCCTTGCAATTTCAGACAGATATCAAGGAAGGGATGGTTTGCTGTCCTGAATAAACTGAAGACATGTGAGTGTGGGGAGAGAGGGGAAGGGAGAGAGGCATTTGCATAGGTCAGGAAAGGTCGTTAAAACATCTGGCAGTAGTAACTGACATGTGTCGAATTTTAGTGTTTATTAAATTCATATTAGTGCAAGAATGGTTCTTAAGCTCCAAATGCCACTTTTGGTTGCTCTGTTCCCCCAGTTGATGGTGATGACTTTTCAGAACTGTAACATGCTTGTTTGCTTGCTAGTGGCATATGACCTGAGGTCAGATTTCTATTTAACCCCTTCCTGTAGGTCAAAAGACAAATTAATCTGGTGAGAATTGAATTGGAAATGAGGTGTCTGGATAGCAGGTGTCCCAACTGTAGAATAGCTGCCAGGCTGAAACATGTTTGCATCTGTTCTTATGCCATCCAAGAAGTCACCTCCGAGGTCAGGGAGATACTGAGCCAACATCTGAGATGGGAGGTTGCCACAGGGAGCACAAGGGGCAGGTGCCCTGTGTTAGCAGATTATTCTGCAGTCTGGGGGCAAATTTCCGAGAGTGTCACTTTGAGTACAAATGTAGGCATTTCCATTTATTGTGCACTTTGCTTTACCTGTGTTTCCTACCAGTTTATAATCATAAAGATACACTATTTCCCTCCCCCTTAAAGAGGTGAATCCCACAAATCTTGTTCTTCCCTTTTTTTAGAGGATGAAGACGATGAAGAGATGGTGGAGCCAAAAGCACAGGATGACTTGGAGATGGAAAATCAAGACCAGAAGCAGGAAGTGAAAGAAGGTACTTTAAAAAATTGAAGGGATTTTGTTACAGTTTTGAAGGTCTGAATCCTGCCAATAATTATTCTCATAGGTAGTTTCCATTATTGAGAACAATGTGAAATTGAAACAGTCACCAGTTGTATTGATTCAGAATGACATGAGTGGCATAAACACAGAAAATTGTATCCCAACCACCCAGCTGGTAGGTCTGAGAAGCTTGTGAAAGGCACAAGACTTCGGCTGTTTAGAAGCAGCAACATGTCCTCATAATCTGGGAACAAAGTAGAGATTCTTGGATTCCAGGACTGGTGCTTACTTGTCCTCTGGCTCAAATAGCCTGCTTACATGAAAGATTTAAAACACAAATGCCAGGCATTCCAGCGGCTCCATAAAGTTGGTTGGTCTTTAGAGGTACTTAGAGCATGTAACTGTCTGCCTGCTTGAGAGGGGCAAATTTAGACCTAGGTGGTAGTCAGGAATCTTCCAGCAGAAAAACATTTCACCAGTCAAATGTTGACTGCAAAAAATTAAATTTTTTTGCAGGAGTTTCCCCCAAGGAACTTAAGGTCAAAGCTGAAGCCATGCAGGTCCAGCCCTTCTATCCATTTCTCTGGATTGAGATATTCTCCAGGGTTACAAGAGACAAAAATTCAGGTTACTGCTTCTTTCTGGTGCAGACAAGAGACATGTCAAAGTGGTCCATGTCAGCACTGGACATAGTAGATAGACTGTCTGTCTCTTGTTAGCTTCCCTTGGTCTTTTTCTAGCTTCCATAATTGTAAGAGGGATGTGAAATTTGGTCTTCCTCTTCTAGAAATTTAAACTAGAGTATTGGCTGTTCTGGTGTGTCACTTTGAGCACTCAATGTTCACCCCTGTATGGCGTGGGGGAAAAGAGCTGAAGTATCAGCAGCTCTAGTGTGAGAGGAAAAGAGTTTCTTCTCCAGCATTTCTTAGCTCTGTGTCACCATGACTGTTCACAACATTGTTTACCCTCTTGAAAGGTAACTTACTTCCTCAGGTAGGGCCTAAGCCATTTTTGTTATTATCAGAATGATTCTGTGATCTTGGCTTTGTTTTTCATAAGGTAATCTCACTATGGAAAAAATATGGAGCCATTTTACAGAGAAACTCATGAAATTATTAACTGTGAATACAGTGGTGGGTGCTCGTTTCTCATCCAGGGAAGCCTGGCATGATTTACATAAGTGTCCAAAAAACCTGAGTCTAGTGTATAGTGCCCTTACTCACTATCCTCACACACTGAAGTGAGTCGCAGCACCAGCCATGCTGTTTTGTTTATAAATTTAACTTTCTTCCCTCTGAAGAGCATTGTAGAAATCACCCACGCTGTAAACCCTGCAGTGTCCATTGCTCATTAGGTCCTTGTAGAAACACGGAGGGGGGAACTCTCTCTTCCTGCTCCTCATCCTTCTGCTTTTCCCACTGCCCACAACCACTACTGCCATGGGCTGAAGGGAGCAGTAGGAGCACCAGTG